CTCAGGGTGTTTATTACCGCCCCTGCGGGCCGGGGCAGGGGACAGGGCTGCGGGCTGTCCCGGGGGCTCAGGATCCCGCACCGCCCCGCAGCCGGGCGCTGTGCTCCAACTTCTAGTCTTCTTCCTCCGACCAGCTCAAGCTGTCATCCGAGTCCTCCTCCTCCTCCGCCCTGGGCTCCTCTGCCCGCACAGCCTCCTCCTGCTCGCCGCGGGGGTGCAGCTTGCTCTGGGGGAGCTCCAGCACGGCCCAGGAGCCGGGGCTGCCTTTGCACAGCGTGATCTCCACCTTGGTAGGGACCATGCTCACAAAGCTCTGCTCTGTTTCAATGACCTGGAGAGAGGGAAAGGTGCAGTGAGACGGGCAGAGGGCAGGCAGCAAAAAAATCATCCTTCCCCTCGCTGACAGAGCCCTGTCGGAGGAGAAACGTGGAGAGATCTCTCCTTGTGAGCCAGGACAAAGCCTGGGCTCCAGCTTGGGTTCACAATGCAGCGCTGCAGTTGTGGTACAGAGCTCAGGAGAGCTCTGCAAGCCACAGCCGTATGCATACACGGGTGCAGTACAGCCCTCTCGCCACACTCTGCTGCCTGCGGGCACAGAAATAAAGGCAAGAAATGCAGATGCAAATTCCTGAGTCTTGCCGCTCCTCACCAGCCAGCGAGAAGCTGAGAAATCAAAGAGGAAGTCTCTTCCCCCACTCCAGTGCTTGCCCGTAAGCACAGCAGGGTTGCAGGGGGAGACAGGGACCTGCTGGTCCTAAGATCCTCTGGGACCAAACCCAGAACACCCACAGAGCCGGCAGCAACGTCCAGCTCTGCTCTTACCCAGCATCAGTGCAGCCACCAGCAGCCTCTGAAACAGCTCTCCTCAAAACCCCTAAGGTATTTCCTGGCAGAGATGGCTATAAATGCTGGTACCTGAGTGACCTGGCTCCCAGATGATCCCAACAAGAGCAAGACAGAGCTGTGGCAGCTTTTAAAAGAGTAGCCAGCATGCCTCAGGTAGTGCAGAGCAGTCAGTGGGACACAGTCCTGGCATGGCTTCCAGTGGGTGTTACCATGATGATATCAATGTAGAAAAGCCCAATTCCCCCAATCAGCTTTTGCTGCTATAGAAAACTGCAGCTCTGGACATAAGTGGGTCCTCTCTGCTGCAACAGCCATGGTGGACCTGTGTTCCCCACAAGCCTCTGGGAGCCAGCAATCACACCAAAGGAGGAACTATGAAACAGTTGTTTGTTCCACAGATGTGCCAGACGGGGAAGAAACTGCATCCTGAGGAGGCCACAGCATTTCTGTGCTATAATGCAGTCAGTGTATGCCTCAGACTCCATGCACAGGAAGGGCTGTGCAGAAATTGCAGCAACAGCCATTTTGCTGCTTTTGCAGAAGTCTGAGAATCCTGAGCATGCAGAGAGTAGGGTGGGGTCCTGTGTCTGGGGCTGCAGATGCTTCTCCCAGAGCACAGGCTGCCTCACAGCATTGCAGCCCAAGCCCACACAGACTACTGGAACAGGGAAATCAAAGTAAACAGGATCTTACCCCCCAGAGATCCAGTTCTGCCTCAAAAACCTTATTCCCTTCAAAGGTGACATGAACCTCAAGCTGAAAGATCAACAGAACATTATCTGAGTGGGTAGCACAGCACTGGCAGAGCTCTTCCCCTGGACAGTGCAGCTGCCTGCAGCACTGCAACACATCCCACATCCAGACTCTGGTGTGATGGTCTGGAGATCCTCTGGGCATCTGGGAGCGTTTCACCCCCTTCAGAGTGTGCCACGTTCACTTCTGCCACCAGTTGAGGGATTCAAGGCCAGTAAAGCCACCTGTTGAAGCTGAAAGCCTCTGAGCTAGAGTGGCCGGGCAGAGCTGCTGGCATCAGCAAAGCTGCCAGGCTGTCCCCTCTGGGCTGGCACTGCCAGCCCTGTCTGCAGCCACAGCCCAAGCAGGCCAGCAAGGACTGCCAGGCTCCTGGCAGGTTCCTGCCTGTCTGCTCACCAGAAGCAGGTGCCACGGCAGCTCCCCCCCCAGCCCAGCCCTGCAGCCCCACTCACCACCGTGCGGTTGGCTTTCACGCTGCTGAGGGTGGGCAGGGGGTTCTTGGCATAGACTGTAACCACGACGTGGCTGCTGGTTTGGTGCCAGTCCTGCCGGCACGACACTGCCTTCTTGTCCTGCTGGGGAGAGGAGCCCATCACGGCGTGGCACCTGGCACTGGCACACCCCAAATGGAGGGGGTGTCTGCTGCAGGGTGCTCCTTTGCACATCTGCACAGAGCGCCAGCTTAGGTCAGCAGCAGCTAAGCAGGATCAAGAGGTGGTTCATGTGAAGGTGGGCAGTCCCTGCAACATGGGGTATCTGTGCTGTCCTCGGGGTTGCTCCAGAAGGGTGACCACAGACATCTTCTTGTTCCAGAGCCACTCTGTCACTGTGTCACGTGTACAGTCAGAAAACTCCATCTGGTGAGCAGTACAAGGGGAAGTTGCTGGACATAGAACATGCCACCACACCAAATCTGGGACACAGGTGAGCCCCGAATGGCCAGGTTTCACCTTTCACAGGACTCCCAAAGGCAGTTTTGGCCCCACCAGGCATTTCTGAGCAACAGTAGGAGAGAGGAACCCTGCAGCCCTCAGCATTGCCAGCCTATGAAACACCTCAAGAGGAGTCCCAGCCCCAAACTCAAGTGACAATCAACAAAAAGCATCTGCATCACAGTTAATTCACTGCAGCCTCCCTTACATCCACTATATGTTTTCTACTCCAGTACAAAGAACAGTCTGGGCTCAGAGGAGGCTGCTCAGAGGAGTGCTGACTCAGAGGAATGTGATGCACTTTCAGGGAGATCTTGGGCTGCTTTAGTGCAACTTTCCCAGCTTGAGTCTATTTCCAGCCAAGGGCTTTCCTGGGGAAACTTACACACACACACAGACACACATAATATTGGGAACTGGGATCTTCTCCCCATTGTCCTGCCACTGCAGCATGTCATTATATAAATTAAGTCCCTCCTGGGAAGCAGCTGCCAAGGGAAAGCTTCATTAAAACCAAATTCAGTCATCTGCAGTCATCTGTCAAAACTTGTTTTGTTTTTTTCGTTGGTTTTGGGTTTTTTTGGCAGGGCTTTTCCTGTGCTCAGCTGCCTGTCCCTGTGCAGCAGCCTGCAGAGCTGGCTACGTCACGCCTGGGACCAGCTCCTGCCTCATTCAGCTTCCTATTGCACATCTGCCCATCGAGTGTGGGAGCTGACACGTTCTGTGAATGCAGGAGCAGCATTTTAAACAGCAGATGGGTGAAGAGGAGACATTCAGACATTCAAACCCTGCACACTCATCTGTTGGCGGTTATGAAAACAAAGAGAATGAAATGCAGAAACCTGTGTGAATGCAGAGCAAGGGAAGGAGCACCCCTTGGGTGCCACAGCACTTCACTCACACAGGTCACCCCTGACCTTACCCCCTTCCCTGTCCAGCAGTGCTGCCCGCTGCTGCAGCCTGGTTGCTCCAGGAAGGCAGTGAAATCCGTTGTTTTGACTCCACAGCAGCTCCAGTATTTCATCCTGGGAAGAGTGGGTTGACCTGAATGGGGACTGCTGGCAGGAGAAGGGACCCCAGGGGGCTCCAGGGTGGTGGGGGAGAGGTGCTCAGGACCAACAGCTCCCTCCGCCCACTTGGCACCCCAAAAAGTGTCCCCCACAGCTGCACCAGCCGTGCTGCTGAAGCCACACAACCTTGCAACATGGCACTTTCAGCCTTCAACAGGCTCAGTTTGCTCCCCAGTAGTGTTGTATCTTACCCCTCATGGAACACAGGAACGCCAGGGTGGAAAGTACAAACTTCTGTGTTGCTCTCTGGGCCCTGGTAGATCTGTGAAGTAAGAAGAAGAAGGAAGTTTCAGCTGTGTTTCTGGCACAGCATGGCGTGGCACAGCCAGGTATCTGCCCATTGGTGCCCATCCCTGCATAGGGCACAGCATGATGCCCATCACCCTTTCATGTGGTCCAGCATCTATGAGGACTTACTGTGGGACTATGCCCAGCTGGCAGCTTGGCACTGATCTCTTTTCCCACCAGGGAAACCACCCCAGACTCTCCAAGACTTCAGTGTCATCCCCATGACCCTGGCAGCAGCCCTTCCATATGGCCTCTCCTAAACAGCCTGGTCCCAGCCCAGGCTGGGCAGCACTGGGTCTGTGGACATGTCTAAACTCCACAGAAACTTGCTCTGGGGTACAAGTTGCCATTCATCCACCCTTTCCCTTCCCCTCCTTTCCAGAGCATGTAAGTGCCCTCATCCACCTCCTGCCTTTTGCTCCCTGCCCAGTCCCCTCTCTGCTGCTTCCCAAGCAGGTCACCCCTCCCCAAGCTCAGTCCCTCTGACACATGCCTCGAGGCAGACAGTCCTGAGAAAGGTGGCCTTGGAGCAAGACAGAAAGCGGGCTGTGCTGCGTTAATTAAATTCAGGTGGAAATTATTCCACGGGCATTTTACCTATATGCCCATATCCTGAGTATGTGCCGTGTTTCATCGCCAGCAATCAGCGGCAGTGAAAGGCAAATGTACCACCAACCCAGGAATCTGAAAGCTCCTTGCAGGAACGTGGCTGGGAGGCAATCAGGAGCACTCCGGGGATGGGATGGGCAGGAGCACACGGAGCCAAGGGGCACTGCCACCTGAGGTGCTCCCAGCTCCGTGATCCCCAAGATGAGACCTGGCCAGGTACTCACCGCCTTGCAGGCTGCGTTCTTGCAGGTGGTGCCAGCTCTCACCTGGGAAGCCACCTCCCCTGCAAGAGCACGGCAGCTTCACCCCGGGGCACACACCAGCCGCTCCCGCCCCCAGACACTCCCTCCA